GAGTTGGGGTGGATCGCGTGGTTCCAAAAATCTGCAGGTTATCGGTGGGGTGGCAATGAGAAAGGAAAAAAAAAAAAAATCGTGATTAGTGTTATTATGAAGATGTAGCTCCTTGAGACTGGGTACGGGGTTAGATTTGCTGCTCCTCTGGAACATGCTGTTTAAAGCTTGCCGGATCTGTGAGCAAGTGTCACCCAGCTGACAGGCTTTCCCCTAACCCCGGGTCATTTGAAAGGGGGCTGGAGAGGCGAAAAGAAGGGGATGGAGGCACTGGATGAGCTAGGAGTTATTTTCTCCCTGGAATAACAACGATGATGCTCTTTTACGTGATTTTTCTTTTTTTGGTTGTTGTGGCTGCTGCCTGTTGGTTTTTTTTGCTGTTTTTTGTCGCTTCTTTTTTTTTGTTTTTAGGAGACAGAGAGAACTGGATGACATTTTATTTATTTATTTTACTTTATTTTATTTTATCTGTGAATCAAAAAAATTCTGTGGCTCACACGGAACAAAGAGAGGTACAATTTTTAATGACTTTGTTGGAGGAAGGCTTGCAACCTTGCATTAGCTCAAATCAAAATGCGTTTTCTTTCTCATTAAGAATTGCATATATATTTTCCCTTAGTAGGGAATATTTCTATTTACACACACAGAGCTTTATATGCATATATATAAAGATATGTTTGTGTTTAGCTAGATGGAGAGATATATTCATTCTAGTGAAATTATACTAGAAATGCAGTTCATTCGGGGATATTTAAATCATTGGGAATTTGGCAGGGGTCGGGCCCTGATTATTTTCTTTAGGGTTGGATGACAAGTGATTGCAAATGTGAGCTCTGGCAAGTGCTCCGAGATCTAATCGCCCCGTGTAGCCAAGCTCGAGTCGATCTGAGCGGCTTCTCGCTTGCTTCCAGAGGAGGAACAGATGCTCTCTCCGGCTCTCCCAGCAAATCCCCGTGGTGTCGATGCTGCGATTATATTGACTGTATTAAATCCAACTCCTCCACCTCCTTCAGCAGCTCCCCACCCCAGAGGAGCCGAAGAGGCTGGAGAGGGAGAAGGGAGTTTTATTGCATAAGGTAGGACGAGGAGAAGGAGGAGGGTGGTGGTGTGTGAAAAATCATCTTAAGGACTTTCCCTCTGTATTAGAGAAAATCCCATCCAATTATAGCATTACTGGAAAGAACCAAATGCTGAGACTTTCAAAGGAGGGGATTTCTCTGTCTTTTCAAGTGAAATTGCTCACACTGCAGACTGGAACACACACACACACACACACACACAGAGACACTCAGACACCAGCGCCCGCCGAAGAGCCGGGGTCCCGGCAAACCAGGGATGGAGGGGGAGGAAGGGGCAGGACACACATCCCTTCCAGGGGTCGAGCTAATCTCCCCTCCTTTTGTTCCTGGGGAGAGATTTAAACATCCCCCAAAGCCTCTGCCCCTCCCACCAGGAAGCACCAGGCAACTTTACCTGGAGGTACAAATTCAGCCACTCTCCCTTTTCCTCTTTGCTTTGCAGCTGCTCTTCGGGGAGGATGGAGATAATCCACTTTGTCATAGGCACATACACACACACACACGCACACGCAAGCGGGATCGTATTGATTTCTTCAGCAGGCAGCATTGCTACTTGCTCTGACGCCGACTGCTTTTAATTACACTGATAAAAAGGTAGTCGGGTGTATAATAGCTATTCCCATTGCCGGGAACTCTACTGTAGATTAGTTATCTATTATCAACGTTACCTCTGAATCAGAGCCCTTTAAGGGCCAGATTTTGCAGTCCATTAGAGTCAGTAAAAAGGCTGCCACGGGCTTTACGGATATGAGACGGCTGGCATTTGCCTGCCCAAAACTGCGGTGTTTTCTCCCCACAGTTGGTTTTAGGGCCAGATGTCAAAACCTGGCTAAGCTCATCCATGCTGGTCCATGGGTTTCCATCCCTCTCCCAGCTATTTGGACATGCATTCAGACGTACGCTTCGCAATGGGCAGGATCTGGCCCTCGGTGGGGTGACAGCAGCATGGCTTTGGCTTCTTTGCTCTTGGCATTGCTCATCAGTGCCCAGGGAGAAGTTCTGAGGGAAGTCCAGGTTGCAGGGTTGTGAATCCTCCGTGGTAGACACCAAGTCTCAGTCCTGGTGGAGCTGCAGCCTGCCTTGCACAGACTTTCCACAGTGCCCATCCTTACACCAGCAAAGTAACCACCAGTTTTGGTTCATGACTTCCCCAGGAGGTGAAGGTCCATCACCTTGACTGTCAAATGGGAGAATAAAGTCTTGACCATGCTCACAGCCATGGGGCTGATTCCTCAGCCCCATAAGCCTGCTGTGAAAGGAGGTGGGTAGCTTCAGTTATCAAGCTGGCATGAGGAAAAGGGGATGGGAGGACATGGAGCAGGCCTCATTGTCATGGGGTCGGAATGCCTTATGAAGGCACTGCAAGCTGGTCCTATCTTGCTTACTCATGGGGATGGCCCAGCTGACATTTTCAGGGCCCACTTGAGTGTGTAAATAGAGCTGGATTTAGAAACATGACTGCTTCACGGTGCAGTTAGTCACAAGAGGGAACAGCTGCGCTCGCCCATGTTCAAAAAAAGGCACGTCCAGGGTGCTTCCACCCCAGAGACATCTATGTAAAGAGATCAGGGGCAAGGAGAGGAGGTTTGGAGGGATCCAGGCAGGCAGGGAGGCAGGGAGACTGATGCAATGCAGTCCGTCACACTTCTCAAATACTCTTTGTGTCACTTCTCTTGCTCTCCTTCCCCCTCTACCCTACATGGAGAAGATTCGTTATGGCTGCAGGATGGGAAGATCATCCTCACTGAGAGCAAACATGGAGCCAGGGAAAGCTCCTCACGGGGCAGAAGGTTTTGCTTATTTTTAGTGGAGGACAGAAGCGCATTCTGCCCCTTCCCTCTTTAATATTTGACTTCCCACTAGTAAAATCGGATTCATTATCTGCTTTTGCAAATTGCAAGTGGAACTAGTTTTTGCTGGAAGATGGTTAATCTCCTCATTTGCAATTTACTCGCTGTCTGCCCCACACAACACTCTCTGAACACACTGGTCTCCATAGTTGGGTATAGCCACCGTGGCAGTGTGAGAAAGCCACGGCCTATTTTTCCTTCCATGGCAAGAAGCCCCCACTGCAGCACGTTGTGACAGTGGGAGCACCAGTAAATCCCCACCAGGCAGCTTTGTAACCCACCCTCCCTAAAGCCAGCCCTGGTGAGGAACCCCGATAGCATGTAAGAGTTGCTACAGATATCTGGAGACCCAGATCTCAAAACATGCTTTGAGGACTAAACCTCCTCCCTCCACTGACGCTTGGAAAATATCGTATAAATGCTGGGATCCTAGATGCCTGGGCACTGGGTTGCTGGAGGCCTGGCTTTGCCACCGGCCTGTTGGCTTGTGGCATGTCATTCTGCTTCCCTCCTTCATTTTGCCTCCGTGCCTTTTAAGGTCCCTGAAGTCTGAGATCCACGTCATCCGTGTCATCCATACAACTTGACCAGGAGTCACAGCAGTACAAGCGACAGGGTAGGTTAATATTGTTCTCATCAGATGTGGAGAATAAGGCAGAAGATAGCGACAGGGTAGGTTAATATTGATCTCATCAGATGTGGAGAATAAGGCAGAAGATGTGTAATGGCTGGCTTATGATGTGAGTCAGTGGCAGAACTGGCGAAAAGATGGATTTTGCTGCTAGATTCATGTCCCCTCTTCAAGACAGGTCTCTCTGTGACCAGCTGGTTTTACCGAAGAAAGGACGCTGCTGTCCAGAAGTGGAGGTCGGTCAGTGTTGGAGATGGAGAGCGTTTTTAGAAATGTGCCAAATATACTAATACATGG